GAGCGCAGGAAACAACTAATTTTAAAGTTCGGAAAAGAAATTTTATTGTCGAAAGACAGCTGAAAGAGTCGGTGAATACAGCCTACGTCATTCAATAGATTTCAATTACCGAAAATGAAAACAAGTCGACACAAAAATTCATCAGGGTGTGCACAAAAGAGTATCATCTGCGTACATGGGGTATGTCATACTTCTGAATGATCATACCAAGTGGTTGTATGCATATCGAGTAGAGGATAGGTTCAATGGTAGAACCTCGCGGAACTCCTCATTTGACAGCCAGAGGTTCGGAAAGAACGGAATTCCCTCGCACTAATTGGTGCCTAGAAGACAGGTAAGAAAAAAAAAACCATGCCAAGGGAGTGCCAGAGACTCCGATTTTAGACACCCGACGAATGAGTATAACGTGATCGATGGTATCAAATGCGGCTAACAGATCTAAATACACCAATAAAACACAGTGGCAACCACACGCACAACATTACGAAGAGTACAATCGGTGTTATGTCTCGTTCGATAAGTTGACTGGTAAGGATCGGAAAGTTGATCATCCAGGTACTTGAAAAGCGCTAATGTGACAACATTTTCAAATACCTTAGCAAGTATCGTTATATTAGTTTATATATATTTTTACTTTTATCGATAGGTCTACTCAAAACCACCGTTTGCAAATCAACACACTGATTATGATAGCGGTAAAATATACAGTTCAATAATCATACAAGATTACATACATATACATATATTTGAGTAAGGACCAACAATTTGTGACGATTTACCGTCCAGACGCGTGCACAGATCTGCACGAATTATATCGTAGCATCAGTCTTGTAAGTGTCTTACCATTATTGGTTTTTATATTAACATAAACCTACAAAATATGAGAATTCATTATGCAAATTACGTTAGTGCAGCGGAAAGAGCAAAGCAATATTCTAGGCGGGTTAAGATTGAAAGTGCTCAAAACATTTGTTTCGTAGATATGATTTGCTACAAGCTGGCAACAAAATGAATCCACATCATTAGCTCTTGGTTCACACGGAATGACGCTGAATTTTGGATTAAAGTGCTAAATTGACCAAGAAATGGCAAAGTTTACACGTTTTTACCCAAAAATCGTATTTTGAAACTAGTCCGTCACTGGCAAATTCAATTTGAATATATTTGATATCATATAAACGCTATGAAAATTATCTATCGAATGATCTACCGTATATGATGACAATTTACCTTAGCTTGTGACCAACATTTTTTATGACTTTTTCCGCTAAATTTAATAATACATGTTTTATAAAATAAATACGAAAGATACAAAGCTAACAACCTTTTCGTTTGATACCTTCCCAAAAACTGACCTATTATACAAAAAAAACACCTATTTAAAAAAATCAGATACCTTCCCTAAAACTGACCTATTATACAAAATAAACACCTATTTAATAAAATCAGATACCTTCCCAAAAACTGACCTATTATACAAAATAAACACCTATTAAAAAAAATCAGACATTATCAATTTTTATATTTTGTAGTTACAGTACAGTATGTCAAAGATCATCTTTCTCAAAAATTTCAAATTTTACACTTTTTTCCTTAAAATGGTATTTTGAAGCTAGTACGTTAGTAAAAAAAAATCGATTTAAATATATTTGGTATCATACGACAGCTATTAAAATTATCTATCAAATGATGAATACAAAATATGAGCACTTTCAATCTGATGGTCACTTGTCTATTTAGCACTATATTTATATAGGTAAGTATAGCGTACCACTTCAGTTAGTGCGGCTGATGCAAATGCATTTTCAGTAAATATAACGGAATAATATATTATAAAGTGACCATTTTAATCACTAAAATAAGTCAATACGTACGAAAATTGTAAATGCGGAACTACAAAGTATCAGTGGCGTAAGTAAGGGTCCGAAGGGCCCGGGCCAGGCGCTGGGGCCAGGGGCCGTGAAGGGCCCACTTTTTGGGGTGTGGGGGAAAAGCCCCCAACCGCTCCGGGTTTGTAGTGTTTTGTGTGATGTATTTTAATGTTTTTTTTGGCACAATTGAGTTCTTAATTTTGTATCATGATTTGACAAAATAAGCGTAATATATTGTAATTAGATAATACTTTGTCGTCTGTAACTTAATTTCTTGTTAAATTGTTAAATTTTTATTATATTACATAAAACAAATTATTAAATAAAGTTTAAAACGTTCAATCTAGAGAACAAAAAAATGTTTGTACTCTTTTTCTAATTATTACTGTTGCATGTGTTATTGTTGTTATTGAAAAGATTCAGTGTCAGATTCAAGGAAATATTACAAATTGAAAATTGGAAAATATTAAACATTATTAACTAGAAAAATGTAATTAATTAATTGCACAAGAATTACCAAATTACAGGTGTAGTACTAGGTAGGCCTACATCAGCGGAACATTTTTGCCTTTTTGAGGGGCGTTGCCGCACTCTCCGCCCCTGGTTGTCTGATCGTCGTCGTCATCCTGACCACAATCTCTACCCTTAACATGACAGTGTTTTTAAGGGGAAATGTTTTCAAAAATGTTTGTAAAGAGTAAGCAACTTATTTATGTTTTTGGGTGGTGAGGGATTTTTTTTATTATTTTTGACTTTCAAGTCTCTCAAAAGATGGGAGGGTGACAGACTCAGACACACACATGTTTATTTGATCCAAAATAATATAAGCAAATACAGAAAATATAACATTATCACAGTACTAAAAATACTAAAAAGAGATAAATGGATCTGGGAGGCCCTTATTATGGCTGCAACAGCCGCTAGCATAAGAGCCACCCATGAAAAATCTAAGAATATAATAATAATAATAATAATAATAATAATAATAGTAATAATAATAAAAATAATATTAATGATAATAATAATAATAATAATAATAATAATAATAATAATAATAATAATAATAACAATAATAATTAAGATAATAATAAAATCATTACTATTTTCATTTATTAATGAATAATAGTGTTAAAAATAACAATTATATGCATTTGAAGATTTCAGCCCTCGACCTCCGCTATGCCATCACCAAATAAACCCGCACTACCAGTTCTAAATATTATGATTCATTTTGGTGACAAGGTATTAAAAATAGTTCTTCTCTACAAGCACAATGTAAATAGAAAAGGGAAAAACAATATTAAACTGCATATAACGTACATAATACGAAAATTTCATAGTACATACCAGGTAAATATGAACGTGCATTAGAGTTAGCAACATTTTAGATGTGCTTACTAAGAAAATAAAAGTCAAGAAAATAAAAGTTATGAGTTGGCCTACAAATATAGCAATTATTAATAACACACACCTCAAGATAATCATTTAAATCATTTATAAATACATTTTTTGTGTATGTTGTGAATCCGTTTAGAGAATAAGCATGTACTTTATCAATTATTAAATTTCCAGTATGGTTCAGCGGTAGTTTGGCGCAGCGTTTAAGGTTTGGGCTTTCAATCGTAAGAAGGTCGGGGTTTCGAGTCTCCGCTGTGCAGATTCGCTTGTGTCACTGGGCAAGGCACTTCAGCTACATTGCTTCAGTCCACCCAGCTGTATCAATGGGTACCAGTAAACTGCTGGTTACTAACCTGCGATGGACTAGTGTCCCGTCCAGAGGGAGTACAACTCTCATCCGCTTCACACTACAGAAACTGGGAATAAGCTCCAATAATGCCCCTATGAGCCCCAGTGGCTCTAAAAGTATTTAGTTTAGTTTATAGTTCACAACTAGCACGAATGCATTTTTTTTGCAAATTCGTGATGTACACGCATATTGTGTAAGTGTGTTTGTATTCTTGTATTATATGAATGCACATTAGCATTCGTATGGAAAAAAAAAGTTTGGAAATACGCAGGCAACATGCTATTCATATATTTATGGTAAAAATTTAATTGGCAGAGTTTATGAATATCAGATAACTTAAGCAAATGTAGCTTCTTTAACTGAGGTTCAGTATGAGCATTATATTTACTTAAGGTAATGATACGTATAGCTTTATTTCTGCAGCATTGTAACCTTTACAATCATAACCCCAAACAAGTATGCCGTAGTTTAGATGTGGCACTATTAGAGAATTATACAACGTTGCCATTACACTTTTAGGGATAATATTTTAAATTTTATTAAGAATGCCTATTGTTTTAGAGATTTTATTGGAAATGTGATCACAATGTCTATTCCAGTTTAGATGTTGATTTCGAATTATACCAAGTAAAGCCTGTTTTCCACTAGGCGAATTTATTCGCGCGAAACAAATCTTCGGTACGCTTTCTGAGCTCTGATTGGTTGCATTTTTTCGCTTCGCAAAAAACCCGATAGAAATATGAATGCGCATGCTTGTGAACCGACGCTTTCGATTCGCGCGAATAAATTCGCCTAGTGGAAAATCGGCTTCATGTCGAATTATGTCGAGCTAATCAGGTGTATCAGACACCGAGTTAAGTTTCACAAGTGGAGCCAGTTTAGGCGTGGTGCTCTCTGATCGGCTAGTTTCAAGCTTGTCAGTATAATTGTCCGGCTTATCTTTCCTAAGTCATTTTTGAAACCGTAGACTGAAATAATATTACCTACAGAAATAATATACTGTATTTTTTATTTTAAATCGATAATTAAGTTACCAAGATAATCTGGTATACCTTTTTGAATAAACAGAGACGATAATGCTGGCAGTTTGTAGAAGAAAAATTGTATTTCACATGCGTTCTTATGGAGTGGTTGTGAGACACGTCTTACCTCCTCGCTTACATGATATGATTGATTCAATTTAACAAGACAGAAGACAGTTCCCCAAGTCATATAACATGTCATTTTTACAGGAGTGCTCTGTCTTTCTGCTCTCGCAAAAGGCCACCCAAGGCGGTCTTTTTACGAGTGTATATAAACATTATAATAAAATATAACGCTATTTAATCCACCAAGTCTGTCTGCTTTCATCTCAAAATTTATATGTGTATTAATTTATGCAGGGTGTGGATCAAATTACTTTGGGCGATTTTGCAGTGTCTTATGCAGTTGGAAAAGTGAAGAAAGCTGTAAGGAAAAGGTATTCTGCCCCCCAGACCCAGTTGGATGCAACTGCATTGATGGTTACGGAGGACTTGACTGTTCACAAAGTAAAATTGCTCAATAATACATTGTTCACAACGTAATTATCTAAAAATACATTGTTCACAACGTAATTATCTAAAGATGTAGGGTACTTAATAATAGATAATGGCCGTCTGGGGAAGGTTTTCATTTCATTTAATTTATCAAAAAAAGTACAAAAGACAGGAACAAACAGACGCAATGAGAAACAAAAGAGAGGAATAACAAAAAAGTGAAAAAAAATCAGCTATCGATTGTTTCCCACAAAAAATAAAAAATATCACAATTACCAACAATAAAGATAAAAATATTAATCATTTGTCAAAAAAAAAAAATAATAATTTAAAACTTTGTACTAAAATGCAGAAATTAAATAAATGTTAAATTGAAATTAACATGTAAAATAAAGCTTGGGAGATCTGCAGAATGAAGTGAAATTAAACAAAAGGTTGTTCCTTATTTCACCGGGCAGTTTGTCCCATATTTGAGGAAAAATTGTTAAATACAGAATATTTTATAGCATTAATTCTGGCGTATTAGTGAAAAAAGAGTGCCGACAATTAACCTTAATTAATTAGAGATATCAATTGAATATTTCCCTCATAGACAGGTACTCACAGATGCTCTAGTGATACTGGTAACTAATCTTAACTAAACTATTCCATTGGAAGTAACAAAACGTGAAAAATATCAAAAAGTGTAGGAATTATTTAGAGAGATTTAATTAAATCTAGTGAATACTGTAATTGCATTTACAATAACAAAACTAGCTATTTCTGCCCGTCTACGACTTAAAGATTTGGAAACTTGTTTATTTGGTAATAATTCCGAGTGTAAATCACATTGTAATCACCGTCCTACAAGAGGTTATGTAGAATTATTAGTTTTCAAGATTCATTATTATTTATAATTCCACAAAATAATGAAGGCCTATTCAAGTTAAATAGAAAAATTATTTTCGATATTATACAAGTTATGCATACATTTATTTTAACTACCATGTACCATAAACACATATTCTCCCACAGCATGTGGCACTGGATGGTATGGTGCCAGTTGTCAACAAATGTGTCGCTGCAATGTTACATATTGTGATCGAAAATATGGATGCAATAATGATTCGTGTTGGGACGGTTACACGGGACCACAATGCCAAGGTATTGGCGATCATGATGGTTGAAGTAGTGATAATTATGAAAATGATGATGAATGATTATGATGATTATGATGATGATGATGCTGATGAAAATGAAAATGACTATGATGCTGACATATAATCATTATGATAATTATGATGATGATGATAATGGTAAAAATTATGATGATGATGAAGATCATAATGACCACGACGATGGTGATGACGATGATAATGATATTACGATGACAGTGATAAATGAAAATACACAAAGCGGTACTTTTTAAGCATCATAATCACCAATATATGATCATGATGTGATGTCATCATGACCATATTTAGCCATGTAACATATATTTATCAAATATAATTTGATAATCTGGAGGGTTTAGAATATAGGCAATGCCCTCTGTATAGTACCAGGGGCGGATCGAGAAATGCCCAAAAGGTGAAGCCGGAAGGGGCGAAAGTCGGGCCGATCGAGATAACAATACCCTAGGGAGTTCGGGGGCATGTCCCCGGAAATATCTGTGTGCTAGACGCCCGAAAATAACCTCTGATAATTATGATGATGATGATAATGGTAAAAATTATGATGATGATGAAGATCATAATGACCACGACGATGGTGATGACGATGATAATGATATTACAATGACAGTGATAAATGAAAATACACAAAGCGGTACTTTTTAAGCATCATAATCACCAATATATGATCATGATGTGATGTCATCATGACCATATTTAGCCATGTAACATATATTTATCAAATATAATTTGATAATCTGGAGGGTTTAGAATAAAGGCAATGCCATCTGTATAGTAC